CACACAGAAACCCTGTTCCACAAGACGGGACTGGCACTCTAATCACCTCTCTCCAAACCCGCAATCTCTCTATCAACGACAAATGCAACTATTTCTCCGATCGCCTCGACAGATGCTGCAAATTCGACAACATCCGGAAAAAGATTCTCAAACACATCAGCGATTGCCTAAATCTAAATTTAACGAACATATGCGTAGCAGCCCTAACNTAATGTATTTGTTTTATTATTTTTCCAAAACCAAATAAATTAAGGGGCCTAAATGCAAATTCTTGCACAGGGCACAGGAATGGCTAGTTACGGCTCTGGTTATCACTATAATTCTGATAGTCACTACTGCTTCAAAGATAAATATTACATTTGACATTAACAATTCCTTAATATAAGATACAACTGCTTAAGTTTAATCTAACATTAAATGGCATTTGTATTAAATATCTCTGGCTATAGTATTACTATGTATTAGTGATGCAATATTCTACGAGATCCTTTACTACGATGACTAAAGCGCATCTAATTTAAGAATATATTTTTTTCTAATATATAGAATCAACCTATTTCTTATGTAATTTAACTATAATAGTTTATATGTCACTAATTGATTTTAACCAATTCTAAACATTAAATTGCATGGATAGGTGTATGTATGACATTTATACAGACATTGAGATTTATTGTTTAGAAAATAAAGATATAGCAAAGCCAGTATTTTGGCATGAGAAACCAGAATCTGGATGATGAAACACATTAAATCTTCGATATAAATTGTATGCTTCTTTCAGTTGCCAAATATATAATCTGATTGCAGTTTTAGGCTAGAATCTTTGAGCTACGTCACCAGAAGCAAGCAGCAATCTAATTGATCACAATTGTTTATGGATGAATATAACGAAACTGATATGTCCGACAGTAACAAGTCTATAAAAAACAGACCTCTACAGTGCAAGATTATGGTAAAAATCTTGAATATGTAGTGATATAATAATGCCTCACATCGTGAATTCTTCTCTCAGAATCAATATCTTATACTTTATTACACTGCATAAGAAGTCTTCATTTTATTTAATATTATGCATCAAAAAACAGCCAGTATGCAAGTACCTTATATTCATATTGGTCACTTCTATTGAAGATCAAGTCTACTTATACAGGCTAAATTGATATTGGACAAAATTAACTGATAACTTACATCAAACAAAAATCATTTGTTAGTCACTTAATTGTCTTTTTTTAATGATAATTTCTGACATTAAATTAGGTATCTTATTACAATTCAATAAGTGACCCAATTTCACATATAATACTCATTTATGTACAGTGAAATCTCTGTAATCTGACCATATATTGGACCAGTGGGTGTCAGATTACTGGATTTTGAAAGTACATACTGTACAATAAAAAAAAAACTGCACTTGGTTCATATATTAGTTTATCGTATTAATCAGGACTGACTGTTTTGCCAACTGTATGTCAACAAACGACTAGTGACTGATGGTATACACATACTGTACTGTAAATCAGATCCTCTCTGTCACATACACCAAGTGGTAATATGAAATTTCACATGCACCATCCTGCGGCAGAGTGTTGGCTTACTGGACGTGTTAGACTGGCAAGTTACGGATTACAGACGCTATCGTACTTTAATATGTATACAAATCATCTTATAAAAAAAGTACTTAAAATAGTAACATTAAAATTACATATGATAAATTTAAATAGTTCAATTATTATAAATAATTGTAGATATAATGTAATTGATTATATATACATATTATATATTCCATAGATGTATCAATACTTTTAACTTTTTGTGTAATTTTATCTTTTTTTAAATAAAATTTTAAAAAACTATATACTTTCAGTTACTTATAAAAGTATGTTGTTCTCAAAATTGATCCTCCACTTAAAAATTCTTCATAAACGGGAAGATATAACATAAGACGGCAAGAAGACAACCTTCATAAATTCTAGCAAATGTTTAATTGAATTGACAAATGATTGAGGTCAAAATGTTTGTCAATTTAATTAAAATATTTTTAGGAATTTATGAAGGTTATCTTCTTGTATTCTTTATTATTATTTTTTCTAAAATAAAGAATAATCTTCCTTAATACACTAATCGGCAAACGAGAACTGTGCATTTTTCTTATAAACAGATACCATATTTACTCGTATATAAGACAAGGTTTTTATTCATTTATCACAGCTTCAAATTCCTAGGTTGTCCTATATGCGCGAGTGAAAGATTCTTTGCGTTTTTGCAAATACTTTTTGTAAATTGTGTATTCGCATTTTTTACCGGATGCTTACCCTCTTGTATTTAACATAAGTATTTTATTTCAGTCACTTGAATCATTGTTGTATATTGTCAGGAGTAAAGATGAATAGCAATAGAAAAAGCAAAGCTTTTGAATTGAATTCCAGATTAAAATTCCAAAACCCCTTCTTCGGATAAATGGGAGGCTCAATAAGCAAATTATGTTGTCGATTTTACAAGATTTTTCCTTAAAGTTTAAATTTTGTGAGACAATTTGTGCATTTACGTTCATTTGATATTTTACTTGTGATTTATTAATACAATTAGATTAAACAAAATAAAGTTAGAATTTTCTTTATTTTGATCTTTAAGGTCACACCTCGTCCTATATGCGAGTAAATACAGTATTTATAACTTCAAAATATATTTAATATTTTGTGTTGCATTCACTGATGTTCAAGATTTCAAAATGATGCAAACAACTAATATTTATAGGATAATATTTATAGGATAATTTCTAATGGATATAATTTAAATTTAGTTGTTAATATATAATGTAATTTATCATCTGAGAGATTGAAATTTGAATACATTTATATATTTCCATAGATTTATTTTAGTCATTATTAATAATAATAAATAAAACTAAATTTTACTTTCAAAAATTATTAAATTTTAAATGTAATTCTAAATTATTCCATTAAAACATTTTATCAAATACATCTGAACTTATTAAACATTTCATGATGAATAAGCATCATATCATATAGAGATGGATATTTTTCCTAGTCAATTTTTATCATTAATCATGTTTAGTCACTAGTAATTTGGCTAACTAACAGTAATTTAATTTGTTACAGAAGAATAATACAATATAAACCTCAGGAGTTTGATTTAAATTTCAATGTTAATGTTCTAATTGAAAATTCAGACATCAAATTCAATTTCTTCTTTAAACCTACAAGAAGTTTAGATTAAAGTAAGTACAGATTGTTTCTTTTGTTGTTGTGACACCGACTGTATTACAAATCGAGTTAACTTACGTTTTACTGTAAGTTAACCCGAAAGAAATATATATATATATATAATCAATATGGCACCCAAGAAAGAGAAAAGTGATAGTGACAATAGAAAATGACAATGCGCTATTTCATTTGAGAAAAATTTTGATTAAAAGAGTAAGACAATCAACTTTAGATCAATTTCTCGTTCCTTACCAAAAGAGACCTTGACTCGAAGAATCTCCCAATGGAGTGCTACCCATTATTTTTTTGGAGGAGGATTCCTCTTCTAAGCATTAAGCTCCGTACATCTCCACTCCTCTGCCACCAACTACAACAAATGAAGGTTTGTACAGTATGTACTGTACAATGCTATTTTATTAAATAAAGTTTACATGTTCGTTGCTGTAATGATAGATACTATGTTTTCCTACATTTTCACCAAAGAAAACTCATTTTACATATAAAATTACAAAAATTTCATAGGATAGAACGAATAAATTGTATTTGCATTAATTTCTATGGGAAAAATTGCTTAGGTTAACAAACAATTAGGTTAATGAACAGAGTTGTGGAACGAATTAAGTTCGTTAACCAAGGGTCCACTGTATATATACAATTATCTTATAAAAATATTTTGTATATCTTATTAATATTAAATTTATTTTATAAATCCATAACGACAAATACAATAAATATAAGTAAATTTATTAATTCACAAGATAATCACCTTTACATGCAATTATAAAAATCTATGAAAGAGTGGGAGAGATGCCACATAGTTAATGAAGGAAGAGAGAGTGAAAAGTTTAACAGTTTTATTTACACAAGCTGATTGCTCCCAGCAATATCAGTTAGAGGGGAAAGATTTTATTCTACAATATGCTTACAAATGGGACAAGTCACCATTAGCTAAAAATATATACACAAAAGATGGAAAAATTAAAAATGGTTCTGCGATCGATCACAAAGTCCAAAACAATGAAATCTGATATATTTAAATAAACTGTTTCATGATACGTACTACTTAATGATATGATAATGGAATGGTTTATATCTGTTGAATTATTGGACAGTTATTTGTATAATTAGAAAAAAAGAAAAATATTACCTTTCTGTAACTTATTTCTTGTCAAATATATCAATAGCTTAAGATTATATATATACGTGTATACTTTGTTTATCATACTAGTATATGTCAAATTAACTTATTCTTTCAATAAAATAAACTTGCAAATAATTCTACTTTTTACAATATTAATAAATAATAGTAGTCCTATATATTAAAAAAAANTATTTTATACTTAATACTGAATTATTTTGCTCTAATCTATATTAATATTGGTCTATTTTGAGCAATAAACTGTTTTGAAAGTTTTATGAAAAATTAATTCTAAAATAACAATTAAAAATCAGTATATGTCAAATTAACTTATTCTTTCAATAAAATAAACTTGCAAATAATTCTACTTTTTACAATATTAATAAATAATAGTAGTCCTATATATTAAAAAAAAATGTGCAATGCTTTAAAAAAACAACTAAAATTGAAGAAAAAGTGTTATAAAAAAACTAAAAGCTCTCATCTGCTAAACTGTACAAATTATATACAAAATCTTTTATATTATATAGTGTTACAATGACCAGAAATGATAATTTTGTCCTTATATTTTTCAAGCTATGGCTGTTATAAAATTCATGCATTACATTTAAAGATGCAAATAATACTTCCATTTTTTCTTTTCTGAGATGAAATGTTAATTCTTTATGAGCGGTTCAATATTCTACATCCATGTGAACGAATGCAAGACGGCTCTGGAAATAAGTAAAAGACAAATATATCAATCAAAAAGTTATAAAAACGAAATTATTTTTATAAATTTTACCATTAAAAACATTTAGAAATATAATCTAAATATAATATAATTTACTGTAATAATAATAGCAAACAATATAAAACTAATGATTTTGTTAATAGCAGAAAAACTACAAGAACTTGTTTTAAAATCAGTGTTTGAAGGAAAACAAAACATACCCATGTGAGACATTTTAATTCTAATAACATTAGATGAATAATATCTGCGATTACAATAAGCAGTGTTTCTGTACTACAAGATATTCTGTACATATACATTAATAGGGATTTATCAGCCATAAAAATTTTTCACTAAGATTAATCAATGCATCTGTAACAGTGGGCATATTAGTGTTTTTGACCTGGTTAATGGATTATCTTCAGGTATGGATGGCTGAAAGTGGAATGTTAATGTTGGTAAGGAAAAATGGGAAAGAGTAAATAAGTGATGAAGATAAACTATTACAGTGGCAATTCATGCATGAGAATAAATCTGCCTGGCAATCTCCTCTTTTAACTAAGGATGACCCATTAATCAAGTCAAAAACACTAGAACTTTGCCTACTGTTGAATGACGCATTGATTAATTCAGCTGAGTAACCACAGTGGCTAGTTCATTCTTAAAATTTCTCTTATATTTTATACTTAATACTGAATTATTTTGCTCTAATCTATATTAATATTGGTCTATTTTGAGCAATAAACTGTTTTGAAAGTTTTATGAAAAATTTAATTTTTAATCATATAGCCAAACCTCAAAAAAAAAAAATCTGTCAACTACGTTTAATGACTTTTATTTATGCATTTTTTTTTACATTAAATAATTAACTCACATGAGATCTTTGAATCTGAGTGCCAATGTCATCTTCACTACCATCTAAGCTTTCGTTCAAAGATGAAGAAGTAGGGCATCGCCTTAGAGAAATTTCATTCTCGTTACTTCCGATATCCGACTGTTGCTTGACAAAATTAATAAATACCTGAAAACAAAATTTAGTTAAAATTTTACTTCTAAAAAAACAAACTTTAAATTTTAAATTTTTTACTCACATTATCAAGAGTGTTCTGACATACTGAATATTCATCAATTGGCAGATCATTCAGTGCAGATTCCATTTTAGAAAAAACATAAGCGAGAGAAATGTTTTCAGATTTCAATTCATACTGTAACATATTAAAATGCTTTTCCTAATAAACAAACGAAAAAAAGAATTCTTTTAATACTGCTGCAGTACATTAAACACAGAATGATACATCTATTAATTTTAAATATAAGTTTTTAAAGTAGACAAAATAACACAGTAACTAAGATATGACACAATGTGTTTTTGGGACAATGGTAGAGTGTTTTTTGAATTGACAAATCACCAGTTCACTCATATAAGATGTCCTTTAAAGGGCATGACAGGTGAACTGGTTGTTTGTCAACTCAAAAAATAATACAGTAAGTGATATATTTCACGTGAAGCTCTTTAATATGCATTTACGCATCTAAAGTATATCCTTTTACTTGAAAAATATTTATTTACTTTGTCTTGTATTGTTAAAAGTTAAAATAAATATTTCAAATTTAAAACTAATTGTTTAACGCTTTTCATTTAATTATTTGTTATTCCCATGAATTTTCTTTCAATTAAAAAATATTTACACATTTATTAATTAATTTGATATTTTGAATATAAATGTCAAGTTAAATCAACTAATAAGTTATTACTACTTTTAAATTAATGAATTTGCATTTAAAATAAGTATTGCTAATGAATTTTAACTAATTTAAACATACAAATTAATACATAAAATATAGTACTATTTGTATTTTACAAAACATTTATTAGTGATATGACAAAATTTAGTTCAAACTATACCTAGAATGAATCACAAACCATACTGAACATAGTATGATAGTTTCATCTTGAAGCATGTTGGAGGTACACAGTTGCATTGGTAACCACTTGACAACAAAAAAATATTCAATGTACAGTGCAATTATATTTGGCTCTAATTTGCAATAAGATTTCTTGCATCTGTTAATACAACTTCTCACAAAAAAATTACATTGATTGTGCCAACACTTTGATGCAATATGTGGCTATCCTCAAGAATTGACATAATCCATGTAAACTTTTTGTGAAGTTTCCTGGAAGAGTTGTACTAAAACACAAGATACCTTATTGCAAATCACAGCCAAAATCATAAATTGTACCACATATTATCTGAATATTTGTGTTGTTAAGTGGCTATCAATGCATCTCGAATGCATTATGAGTCAATCAGGATTAACTCGGCTCATGAAAAATGTAGTATTAGTGAACGTATTGCTTAAATGAACAGTCAGAAAATTTCTCTTGAACATACTGTAAATTGTTATTTGAACTTCATATAAGTAACCATTTCTTTTAAATGAGTAATTCCCATAAGTTAATATTCAATTTTTCCCTTAATGGTCTCTTTCTTCTTTTAAGTTACCAGTTCTTATTTCCCTAATTGTTACCTAAACAATAATAAGTGCCTGGTTAATTTCCTATTGGCAAATTTTACTCCTGAAAGCAATGTTAAGTGAATAAAACTAGCAAAAATGCAGAATTTTCTAGAAGTCCTGAACTGAGATAAAAAGCAGTTGGTGTTTGTCACATTATAACAGCAGCCAGTCCGTTATTCAAACTTACAAATGAAGTTATCATTATTTACTATATATAAAATAAATCAAAGAGCCAACACAATGATCATTTCTTAATGATTTACAAGAAAAATCCTATCATCCTGTAGTGCTACAGACCCAATCTTCCTCTAGCTCTTTCTGACTGTCACAATGATTCTCCAGTTGAATATTCTTAATAGTTTTAAGTCTTCTCCCTTTCTGTCTAACTATCTTTTGTGGATGTCTTTGAGGTGTGACTTCTTTCATTTTTGGGTGCATTCTTTCAATATAACCCAGCTAGTTTTAAACTTTCCTGTTATATATGTGACACTGTACAGTTTATGTATTTCTGTGAGATATAGACAACGACAAACAGCTACAGCATTTTGAAGACAAGTCTAAAAATTTTTGATCCCATCTAGGATAATGAATGGTCAAAAAAGTAAGACAAATGGGAGCCTTTTATGTTTTTAATTAGTTTAATCAAATATTTAAATTTATTTATTGAAGACAGAATATTGACAACAATATGCTAATTATAATTGTAAAAATACATAATTAATTAATTAAATGAAATATGTAATATTTACCTTTAGTATGGCATCGGGAAATGTTCTCCGAAACCATCTTTGCACAACTTCCTGCTCACAGTCTTTTGTACGAAGAATTATGTAATAACCTTCTCCAAATCTGTTCTTTAAATGCTGAATACTTCCAAGACATTTGAAATGCCCATTTACCATAATGGCTAATCTTGTGCATAATGCTTCACATTCTTCCATGCTGAAATTTTTTATAATATATATAATGTACATTTAATAAATTTTTTGTAACTTTTTATGTTTATATTTTATTATAAACATAAAAATTTGTTAGAATTTGTTTACCAAGATTTTAAACAAATATTCTGAAAACATTTTCATTGAAAATATGTAAAAGTTGGCACTATCACAGCAAGGAATTAAGAAAAAGCATTGTCTATGGACAATAAAAATTTATTTACAAACTATTTTGGAATATTTACAGCCTCAAGTTATGCTATCTTCAGCATAAACATTTTTGGTCTCACATCAGTAAACCATTTCAGTCTCTTAATATGAGGATGAAAATGTTCCAAAATTAATAATTTTTCAAACACTAAGTCTGGAATATATTATATCATAAAAATGCACACAACTAAACCTTAAAAGTAAAATTCCAGAAAAGGTTATTGTACATAAAACACAAACATCTTCAATCTACATAGGAGATATTCTTTAGGGCAAACTGTTCTCAAATTATTTGAAAAATCATATATAACGAGAATTGTTTAAAAAAATGTTTAATAAATAATTTTCTATATCTACTGTTCCTGTTGGTATAAAGATTGTCAGGCGTAAGATAATTGTTTTTCATTTTTTTTTTTTTTTTTTGAAATTGATGCAATTGCCCCTCTTTTCAGATTTGAATATCTCAAGAGCTTCTAGTGTCCTGATTTGGTCGTCATGCTTAGATCGTTGTATAATGGAAGCTTTGTCTAGATAAGCTTGAACGTCATTGCCTGTGGTGTACCTGGCTAGGGCAATGTTGTATTTTCTTTTATCAATATCATATTTGTGTTCTGCAAGCCTTATTTTCAGTGATCATGTGGCACATTTGAATCTATTGTCCCTCAATGGATTCCTATAAACTCACGGTACCCTAAGCATGTCAGTGTTATCCTTTCCGTTTCTTAGGATATTATTGATAGTGGGAACACGATTAACATATAAACTAGCACCTTTCTGATGGACAATTTTTTTATATAACTTTATCACGTTGTGGTTATAATGTTCCATTTTCTGCAAGCGTTCTCAAATGGAATTGAGAATGCTTTAACCTGAAAAAGATCTCCTATGCAGATCGAAAATGTTTGTGTTTTATGTGCATTAAACTTTTCTGAAATTTTACTTTCAAGATTCAGTTGTGTGCATTTTTATGAATAATTTTTACTATTATTAAACAAAAAAGTTTATTTAATACAAAGCTAAAATAGCAGTATTTGCCAAATACAATCACTTATTTTGATTAGCACCAAAAAGAGCTTTAGATGAATAAAATAAATTTGTTATATCCTTCAAATCTTACATTCACCTGAGCTCAAAAATCACTCAGAAGACAATTTTAATTCACAGATCTTTTATTCATATTCATTTTGAATTGGAGCTTTCATTGATCCCTCCTTAATGAAGGTATAATCTGACAGAGTTTATAGTGATTTTTGTTTTCCCCCTCAATACTTCCATGCAATCAATCACAAACAAAAGTTTATTTCTTAATTCCTCATTTTGAAATTCTGATTTAACTTTTAAGGAAATCAACAAACCAATATTAAATGGATTAAATACAGCTTTTTTTTATTTTGAGATTATTTACGTCTTGATAAGACTAAGAAAATACTGTTCATCCTGAACTGTGTCACATACATGCATATGTATGTAACCACACAGATTATTGAAACCTATAAGAAATCAACCCATTGATCTAAAGTGCTCGTAATTATAACATTATTTTCTTTTCATATTAGTTCATATAAGACAATTTATCCAGATTTATTACATTAATTGCAAATAATTTTGTAATGGTTTAAAGATTTACATTGATCTTCTAGAACAACTAATTTTATACTTTTATCACATTATTCAAAATATCATTAAAAGCTATATATTAGAATACCTGTGTGAAGTAAAAACAACCGATCTGTTACTTTTGACTAGTTCAATAACTAAATCCCATAAGAATCTTCGTGTGTATGGATCCATTCCTGTTGTTGGTTCATCCTGATAAATTAAAGAAATAATATATAAAATTGGTAATTTCAATAATTCATGTAAATGCAAATAATAAATTTTACCATATAAATTAATGGCGGAGCACCAAGAAGTGCTATGGCGGTTGATAGTTTTCGTTTATTGCCACCACTGTAAGTTCCACTTGGTCTGTCAGCATAATGAATCAAATCTAATTTTTTCAATGCCCATTCAATTACCTAAAATAATTTCAATGAGATTATTTTGTTCTCTTATAATAATAAATTTAATTTTTTACCTTTTTTTCTTCCTTAGGAGGGATGCCTCTGAATCTAGAATACAGTTGCAAATGTTCTCTGGCAGTTAATTCATCATAAAGAGCATCAAACTGGGGACAGTAACCAATAAACTGCCGAATCTTATGTAAATTGTTTCGAATACTGCAATTTTATTTAATTTTGATTATTTTTTTAACATTTAAATAAACGTAATAATTAAATAATTAATAACCTGTATCCGTTTAAAAACGCATCGCCTGCTGTTATGGAAGTATCACCCGTCAACATTTTAAATGTTGTTGATTTTCCTGCACCGTTTACACCCAAGAGACCAAGACACTATACAAAATTAAACACAGTTTTTACAAGAAATTTATTATATATAAAAATAGCAACAAGCAACTTACTTCTCCACCTGAAACTCCTAAACAAAGTCTGTCAACTGCAAGATGCTTCCCTAATTTTCTTGTTTGATATACCTTAATTTAAAATAATATTCAAAAAAGTAAATTAAAAATGTAATTTTATATTTTAATAATTTATTATAAAATTCCCAAAATTTTTTTAAACAAATTGAAAATATTGTGACTAATCTTTATGACATAATTTCGAATTTGAATACCGATATTTCCTAAAAAATTTAGATTTATCTATAGATTTTAATCTACGACCTTCCTATTGTAGTTTATTTTTGTTAAATGCAAAAGCTTTCAACATTACAAGTAGTTATTTTTCAAATATGTTTAATTAATTTTCATTAAAGCTTACCTTTGTAAGATTATCTAAATGCAATATATCATTACTAGCTTGGCCTGTTAAGACTCGCCGACGCTCAAATGAAACATCTACGTCTTCATCTTTTATTACATATCCTGGAACTTTGACATTTCTGCAATAAGATTTCATTTTTTAAATATAAGTAATATTAACAATTTGTTTGTATCCTTGTCCACTTGATCTTGTTTAGTAATAGGACTTATTATACTGGTGTTGTTTCTGATTAGCAAATAGAGACGATCTTAGTCGAAAAATCAAAACAAAATAGCTTTATTTTCACCCGTTTTCATTTTTTCACTGAGATCTCCTCTATTTGCTAATTAGAAACAACACCAGTATAATAAGTCCTATTACTAAACAAGATCCAAATAGACAAGAATACAAACAGAAATTGATAAGAGTAAGGACAGAGGTAATATAAAACATATTAATTCTTTTTAAGTTTAATAAATAAAATTAAATGCATAATTCTAGCCAAACAACTAACTAAATTGAATAACTCTAAAAAAATTAGTTTGTAAATTTTCTTACTAATACTGTCATTTCAATAACATCATCAAAGTTTAATATCAACAGAAAATTTTAAAGAATATATAATATATTCAAAGTGTTTAATATTTTAAATTTCGTGTTCTTCTAAATAAAACAAAGATTATAACTTAAAATTAGTTTTAATAAATAAATTTGAAGTATTCTAATATCTAAAATAAAATTAGCACAAAAAATTTCGTACTTAAATAAAAGAATATCTGACTACAGTATTAGATAAATGCTTTATAATCAATAGCAAAGTCTAAAAATATGGTTTAAAATGTTAATTTATTACTTTAAATAGTTTGAGACTACATTATTATAGTTAAATAATATAAAAATAACCAAGTCTTCCATAAAAGATTCACATATTTCAAATTCTTTATATAGAATCAAGTTTCAACAGATGAACTTGTAGTAATTCAAGATTTTATAAAATACAAAATATTTTTAACTTTTCAATTACAGGTTTATAAAATAAAAACACTTCATTTAAAAAAGTTATTTCAATATATTACAATATGATAGAGAATATAATGCTGCCAAAAGATTTACTTTACTTTGAGTTGTGTTTGCAATTAAAATTTTGAAAGATAATATAGCATTTCAAAAGAAGGAACTATTTATGTCAAACAATATATTTATATGCAAATAAAATTATATATATATATATATGAGGACAATCCAGCAGAAAGTAACTTATGTTTTAGAATTAAAAAAAAACCCAAGTGAAAAGAAACATTTTTATTATATACATTTGAAAGCCACTCTCAACATAGTCACTGTTCAAACTGAGGCACTTATAATGGTGCAACAGCTTATTAATTCCATCAATCATAAATTTTTTTTGCCTGAGACTTCAGTCACTCATTCATGCCCACATGCCCACCTGCAGTTCCATGTCATTATCTAAGCACTGCATTGCAAGCCACAACTTTATGCATAGAAACAAATGGTAGTCGCTCGGTACAGATGATCAAAGATCTTTCATCTGAAACCATCCAAGAGCTGTAGAGTGCAATTGGGCGTGTTCAGGCAGGCATTGTCATGAAAAAACAAAATCTTTAAACTCAATTTTTCCCAACGTTTGTTTTGAACTGCTCTTCTTAACTTTTTTAATGTTTCACAATATCTCCCAGAGTTTATTGCTGAACCACATTCAAGAAAATCCACCAGAAACGCACTCATCCTGTCCCAAAAAATGGTTGCCATGATCTTTCTTGCTGACAACATTTGCAAACATTTCCTTGGTTTTGTGGAAGAACTTGTGTCTCTACTCCATAAACTGGTTTTTTGTCTCACAATTCATGTGTTTTATCCATCCCCAGTATGACACAATCAAGAAGTGAGTCACCCTCTCTGTGGTAAGCTTCCAGAAATGTCAACAATGCTGCCATGCGCTGTTTTTTGTGGTCATCTGACAAGATTTTCAGTATCCATCTTGCACAGAACTTATGGTAACTTAGCTTGTGCATTACAATCCCGAGCAACAAACTCTATGAAATTTGTGGAAACTCAAATGAGAGCTCTATAATTGTGAAGCGGCGATTTTCACGAATCCTTCCATTGACCAGTTTGTCATTCAAAATGCTTGGTTGGCCACTTCATCTTTTATCGTGAACATTAGTGCAGCCATTTTTAAACATAATGCCCCACTGCCTCACTCACATTTACTCATTATGTCATTTCCATATACCTCAAAGTTGTCAATGAATTTCAATTGGTTTCTGGTTTTTTGCCAACAAAACTTAATCACTGACCACACTTCACAACTCATATGATTTTCAATTGCAGCACACATTTTAAAAATTCACAGTGGACAAAGCAGAAGCAACACAAACCACATGCTAACACAGCTGAACATATAATGAGTGAGGGGACACACTGACACCAAAATGGTAGTTCTAACTCAACCCCATACCCCTAAGTGGCCAAAATGTAAGTTACTTTATGGATTGTCCATGTATATTGTTTTTTATACATATTTATATAGAATTTATTACACATAATTTAGAAAAATTATCTGAATTTACTTACTTTGGTTTTCTGAAAAAGTTAAATTCACACAAAAGTGTAATGAAAAAAAATACCAAGCCACAAAATGCCATAGCAATTAAGTTTCTTGTAACTAAATTCCATGCAAATGGGGATTTCATTTTATCATATTGACCTAAAAAATTGTAATATCAAATTATGAAAATTATAATTATATTAAAAAAATATAATAAACTTGAAAATTTTATTTTAAATAATTTTCTAACCTGTTTTGAAAAGAAAAAAGTTTTGATATTCATTAAATGCAATGTCCATTAGTCCTCGACCCAAACAGTAATTAGGGAAAAGTAGAAAAATCATTTTCAATAGTTCATGAACTTCTCCTAAGTACTAAATAAAAAATTTAATAATTTAAGAAACTCTTATTCTTAATGTTAATAAATTCATAAAACAAAATAAATGATTGCCTTTCAAAGTATACTTACTGCATCGTATGAGAAAACTTCGAGTAAAAAGCTAGTCACAATACAGGTTATTCCAACGAATAGATTGATAACAATTAAAAATATGTAAGCTGTACTTGGTTCTTTAAATAAAAATGATACGGGATACATCATTGGTGTTATAGACCACCTTAAAAAAAAATTTGAATTTTTTATGTTAAATTTTATAAATAGTTAATATTCAAAACAGTGATATATAAATTAACAAATTATTATTAAACAGTAACGTTTAAAAATTTATGATCTAGATGCATGACTCAAAACGATAACAACAGACTGATGATGAGTGTAGTAAGCTTCAGAAAGATCTTTTATACAAGATAAAGGAGTGGACATAACAGAAATTTAAGTTTAACTTTATTACTATTATTAGGCCCACCTAATATTTTTATGCTACCAATTCATTAATCTTTGTTTGTGCAATATTATTATTTTATTCATACAGATAGCATTCATACATGAATAATATAGTTGAAATAAGAAAGGTATTACCTTTGTCACAGTGAAAATTACTGTAAAATGCTTTATTTTACAGTAATAACCAAGATTCCCACCTGAGAAGTGCAGGATCGTATGTCATGATTGGAGAGCAGAGGAAAAATGACATCATTGCTTCGATTTTAAGATATTCATAAACTATCTTAATTTTATTGTAAAATAAGTTATAATGTTTTCAAATTATGCCAATATAATTAAATTTGTAAAATTAATGAGCTATCTATATATTGTGTATAAAAATCAATTCTTGTTAATTTGTCCTTTATAGAAAATCTTTATTCTTAAATTGATCTAGACAAAAGTTTGTATGAGTATTACTTAAGACCTTGGAATTTACACTAAGCTATATATTACCCCCAACATATTGGGGTAATGTATAACTTAGTGTTGTTTCCAAGGTCTAAGTATTATATAGATTCCACATCCTTTACATGTAGTGCCATTTGTTAGCAAAAATAGTAAATAAATGCTAACGTTGTTGGATTGTTGATAATAGATTTTTGGTTTTTTCGATTGTTGAGAAAAGATTGTTGACTTGCTTGACGACACCTGCCAAGTAGTTTAATGCCTGCCTAAGGGCATTAAACTATTTGGCATTACTGTGAAATTACATTAAAAAGTTGTCCTTTTAGCTGAGTGTCTGTATATATGAGAGTATATATTGGGAGACAGATATGAGGAAATATGCCAAACAAGTTTTACGATGGATATACGAGAGGGCAATATTGGCATCTAAAAACAAATGCATTGCCAAATGTACCCAGTGGAGTTTTTAAACTCCTTGGAACCAGTTGGACTACCACCTCATAACCTAGAGCTATAGGTTCAAGTACCAGTAATGCTTTTATAAAATTTGGATCCACTAAACTTATGCAGGTGGATGGGAATGATTGTTTATCTTTGTCCCACAAGCCCGAGCAATTTTTTGTGTTTCAGTTTCATTATTATTAATACTCATGTCAATAAATTCACATGTTTTAGTTACTAGGACTATTGTTTTTTATTACCCTCTGTCAATTCCATACCCCCTCAAAAACCCAAGCAACACTGGGCATACATCACTAATTAAATGTATAAATAAAAAAAAACATAGCTATTTTAAAGTAAAGTTGTTCTTAAAATTTTGAATATTTATTAATAAATTATTTTATAATAGAATTTTATTAATTCTATTATAAATTTCATTTGACAAAATAAAATTCATATAATTAACAAAATCCATCATTTTGTCTATGTCATGCACACATGTCACTACGCTGTCTTTTGGTGCGTACTTTTCCAGAGTGACCAATTTTGACAGACAAGAACGCATAATTTTTGGACAGGTTTTGGCACAACTTGGCAAATTGGTCTTGAAAGTAACAATTTTTAGACAGAAGCTTAGTTAGTCTATGCAAATCAGAAGCATCCACTGTCTGTACATAACATGTCATCAACACAAGGACACTGACTAATTTGAGACTCAGCATATTAGCAGTTCTATGGGGAAAAAGTTGCGGCGTTCTTAAAATCAACATTGTCTGACCAGTACTCTACTGGATCAAAGCTCCTTAATAATGGTACATACTTTTTTGTTTCTAAAATCAACATTTTGCTTATATCAAAGCTATCAAACAAACCAGTTTTTAGAGATGTTCTGTCCAATCCATGTAGCCTATGGCATCTCATTTGGGTCTCACTTCATAACATATAGCAATGGACATGATTTGGTACATATACAACTCTTAAAGACAATGTAATTTCTTGTACCAATTCAATATTTCCTTTTATAAGTATCATACTCATGGCATAGAAATTTATCAAAGCATTGTATTTAAGAACTCAGCAAGTTTTAATAACTTGTCGAGTTCTTAAATACAATGTTTTGATAAATTTTAAGGTATAAAGATCATTGCATAGTTTTTAGAGATTTATCTGCAAGTCTTTAATTTACACATAGTTTCCATAGAAAATACAAAGAAATCCATAGTAGTTGAAATCTCTAATAATAATTTTATTAATTTGAAAAAAAATTATGTATTTCACTTACCCATAAATCAGAAAGAGTGAAACAACAGCAGGAAAGTTTTTATGTGAAGTATATGCAGGAATGTCAAAAATTAATAAAATTAAAACACAACAAGTCGCAGGAACAACATAACTACACTGTAAAAAAAAAAAGATAAATATATAACTACATAATTTTATTAATGTATATTTATTACTTCAAATAATAAATCATTAATTTGATCCGTTTGGATCAAAATCACATTTATAATCAAGATTTCAATATCGTAACAGTTAACGAAAAAGTATACAAATCCGGCACTTATTAAATACATAATTTCATAACATTACAAAGTCAAAAACAATGTGAAAAATAATTAGAATAAAAATAGTCAAATATTGCTAAATAAAACAGTTTATTTACCATGTCCCAAAAGTAATTAGCAACCCAGTAAATGACAGCATTTACTCCGCTGACATATTGGAGATGTTTGGCTTTAATGTATCTTTCATAGACGAGAAATAGGACAAAACTGGCAGGAACAAATGACATGGCTACAATGATGAATATTGCAATCAAGACATCCGTTCCTTGCAGACTGTAAAAAATTATATAATTTTAAATTTATTCAATAATTAATATAAATAATAATAGCAACTTACATTTGATCTTTTGAGAGCATGTATGATGTATCCGTCATTGGATGATTAATTACTGTAATTCCTGCAATTTTTTAAAATTAAAAGATTTACTTTGTTGCTTCTATATTGTTATCTCTTAGATTTATTTATATATATATTCAATTATTTAATCTAACAATAAAATAGCTAGCATTTGATATTATTAATAAGTGTGTAAATCAATAGATCATCTCAATTTAAATCTCCACTATATCATCATCAAATTAAATCATTTAGAGCAGTCTTATAATTTCAGTATTATTAAATATTTGTTTTAAAAAAAAAAAAAAGCTTATAGAAAGCACAAAAACTGTTTGATATATTTTATAATTACTAAAATTGAATATAAATAAAAGAATAAAAAAATAGCGTCTTATATAATTTGGAATGCTATTTAAAAACTTATTTGCAGATAATTAGCAGACCAACATACAGTATCAAGGATACAGATGAACTAATCAATGGATTATTGAAAGGTAAAGTTATGCAAAATCACCGTCTTATGAGCTTAGACATAGAATCAATGTACCCATCTATAACATTGGATATGATAAAAGAATCTATTAGTAAATATGAAATACCAGATTATATAGTTCTTCTTATAGAGTTTATATTTAAAAATAATTATTTTAAAATTAACACAGATTATTTTCGCCAAAAAGATGGAATATCAATGGGATCAGTGATTGGACCTAAATTAGCAGAGATTTGTATGAAATCAATTGATGATAGTATATCAAAAGTTCCAGGTATAGAATTTTATGCTCGTTATGTGGATGACATATTAATTATTTTTGATTCCTGTATGGTAACACCTCATGAAATAGAAGATTATGCGAATACCTTACAACCCAATATAAAGTTTACTAGTGAATTGGAACAGAATCAGGAAATAAACTATTTGGATGTGACTATTAAGCGTGAGAAAACGCAATTGGTGTTCCGTAAGTATGAAAAATTGTGTAATACAGAAAAAACAATTAGTTATAAATCTTATTGCCCTATAGAAACTAAGAGAAACGTTTTTACCATGGAATTGAGGAAAATACTAAACAGAACAACACTCTATGAAGATATAAATAAAGAAATTAAACAATTATTTAGAAAATATTTATTGAATGATT